AGCCGTGGGCACTGGTACTGATGGCTCTGGGACCAGAGAGAGAGAGAGAGACGCCGTGGTCAGTACCCCGAGTCCTCGTTACCCAGTCCCACAGTGGACAGGTCAGGAAGGGCCTCACCTGGATGGTGTCAAAAACAAACTCCTTGGTGCAGTAGGCACAAGGCTGGGTGCGCTTGGGGCACTCGGAGGTGGCGTGCTGGGCCAGCAGTCGCCGCATCATGCGGGCACCACACTTGTTCTCACAGTAGACGCTCTCTTGGGGGCACATGCCCTCGTGACCCTAAAGACAGCACAGGGCCCGAGTTAAGGGATGCCGGAGCTTCCAGGTACCTCGCCCTCCCCTCCCCCCCTTCAGCCCGGACCCACCTACCTCGTAGGCCTCCCCGCTGAAGTCACAGCCACAGAATTCACACTTGAGGCGGCGCTTGGGACAGTCGTGCTGCAGGTGGGCAGGCAGATCGCGCCGGCTCAGCTTGGCCGGGCAACGATTGGGGCAGGGGACCACATTGAAGCTGCAGGTGTTCAAGTGGCCCTGGTGGGAGAGACTCCGTCAGCACCTGCCGCCGAGTGAGGGCTAGTCAGCCCGGCTCCCCACCCCAGGGCCTCACCTGTAGATGGCGGAGCAGCCCAGTCCAGCGGCAACCCTCCTCACTGTGGATGCAGCGGATAGGCAAGCCTAACACCTGGACCTCCAGCTCTGGGTCGGGGTAGATCTGTGGGCAGAGAATGGGGGGGATCAGCAAGGATCAGAGCCTGTTGAAGTCACATTCACCCCGACTCTCAACTGAGCTGGCTGTGTCTATAGGCCAGTAATAACCCGAGCTCTCAGATTATTTGTCTCTGTGCCCTAGGATGAAGGATACAGGATGCCCTAGGATGACTTGGAACCTAGGGTCCCCAAAATGCCTGCACAGGAACATGCTCCCTTCAAGGGGACACTCCATCACATCAGCCTGCTCACTCACGGGCTACCATCCCCCCCCCCCCCCCCCGCTTCCTTCCTCTTAGTGGAGGGGTCCTGGCCCCCGGCCACAGGTCTAACTTGCCACAGGAAGAGGAGGGAGCATTTCTTATGGGCACAGAGCAGCTCTGTGCACCCCTACAGGCTGGGCATTGTGCCTACCCCCCAGGGCAAACACAGCCTTCGTTTGCAAACTGGCTTGGTGGGAGAGAACAGGCTACCTTTGTGGGGGCTCGAGATCCTGAGGCTTGGGGTTGACACTGGCCCTGTGCCTGCGGGCTGCCAACAGCTCCAGCCTCCACCAAGGGCAACAGTCTATCTATGTACCCAGGCTTCCAACCTAGCAGTGTGTACTCACCTTGGCATAGTCCAGAGGAAGCTGGTCCTCAGGGCATTTGAAAACTCCTTCACTGAAGGGGAGAAGGCAGGGTCAAGGCTCAAACCCTGGGCCTCACTCCCTCAACCAGGGTAGCCACCCTCCCTTGCCCAGGCCCCTTCCTAGCCAGCCATAGCTGAGAAAAAGGGAAAGCAGAGGTCATTAGGAACCCACTTTTCAAGGGTGCTAGACAGCCTGCAAAGGGTATTCCAGGTCCAGTGCAGACAGACAGCTGTCTTGGGCAGCACTTACCCAACAGGTGGCAGCTGGCATCCCCTCCCCCCAGGACAGCAGCTGGACTTGAAAGAAACAGGCAGCCTGCCACCCCCTTCTCCCAAAATGGTTTTCATTGGCTATTCTGAAAGCTGATGGGAGGGTATACAAGATGGGCTTGGATGAAGTGCCAGGACTACCCAGCCTCCAGGACTGTGCCAGGCCAAGAACCAGGGCAAAGGTCATCTTGAGGCCACTTTATGCTATCCCTCCTCTCCGAGGGTGTGTCTCCTAAAGAGGTGGGAAGGAAAAGCAACGCCTTTGGAGCTCCCCGTGGTCACTCGCACCCGGCCCTCATCACCCGCCTCTGGGAAGGGTTAGAAGGGGCTCCTCGGGAGGCAGCACCGGGGACATCTGTGGCAAGTCCGCAGCTCAGAGGGGCTCCACCACGGACAAGGCTTCTGAAACTTGGGACCCCAGCCCCTGCCAGCTCTCCTGTCCCCCTCCTTCCCAGTCTCCACCCAGATATTCCTACCCGCAGAGCCTGGCAGCATGCTTCTTCCTGCCAGTATGCCCTGGCTGACCCCAGCAAGACCTGTCACACACCACTGTCATGGCCCAGGCAAGACAAGGGCTCACCCGGCAGGACAGAGGCCCCTAGGCATGGCATTCCTGGCAGATCTGAGTCAGGTAGGCGGGAGGCAGGCAGGCCTCAAGGCGGAAGCAGAGGCTACATGGCAGCCCTGTGTGAAAGCACTTTCCAGAGCCTGGGCAGTCCATACCCCAGGTGCCCAGTCCACTTCCTAAGACCTCCTCTTGGCCCGGCTACTAGTGGCCATGTCCTGGATGCAAAGAACAATACATGCTCAGGCACCAAGCAGGTATGCCTGCACCCACTGGGCAAGTAGCCTTTCTGGCTCAGCCTGAGTAATAGCCTCGGCAGGAGTGGGGGAAAGAGGCCTGGACCACGGGGGAGGGGGTCCACTTGGCTGCTTCAGGAATGTGCTGACCCAGTGGTTTTGGAGACGAGGGGACTAAGGCAAGTCCCTAGGCTTCAGGCAGAGGCTTACCCTGCAGCTTGGGGCCCGGCCAGGACAAAGGTTTGGCCAAGGCTATGGACAAGCTAACTTGTAGGCTAGGGGTGATAGTGGAGGGGGGGGGGAGCCTGCTCAACCACCTCCAGAGGCCACGGAACACTGGATCGATGGGGGAGGGGAGGAGGCAGAGGCAGCTCCTGGCTGAGCAGTGGAGGCCCAAGCCCAGGGGAGAAGACAGGATGGGGGGAGGGGGCAGTGGGAGAGGAAGAGGGGATTTCCGGGAGGAGGAGGAGGGGCAGGAGCAGCCTGGAGGGGCCTGAGAAGGAGGTGAAGGAGGAGGGAACGGGGCCTGACAGCCCCCTTCTGGCTCTTTCCCCGAGGCAGTAAGGGTGGGTCAGCCGGAGGAGGGGGCTGGCTCAGCTGGCCTCATCTGGAAACCAGAGGGCCGGGAGGGGAGCGGAGGAGACAATGGGCCCGTGTGTCTGTAGAGGAGTTAAGTGTGTACATTGCAGGGAGGAGGGCCAGAGGGAGGAGGGAGGCGAGAAGGGAGGAGGGGGCCGCACAGCAGCTTGAGCAGGAGCATATGTGAGAGCCGGAGCCCGCGGCTGCTAGGAACAAAAAAAACAAAGGGCCTGCTGAGATTTCCGCCAGCCAGGCTCTCCGGAGGGCCGTGGGATGGGACACTGAGGCAGAGATCTCACACCGATCTCCTGACAGTACCCCTCGGACCGCGGCCGACCTGACCTTCCGTGGGCTCTAGGGCACGACCTCCACAGGCGTCGGGGCTCCCCGATCTCCCCTCCCACACCGCAGCCCTCAGGGCGCCCAGAAATGTGACGGATGCCCGAGGCGGCAAGGCACGACCTGGGTCCTGAGAGGGCAGGGGGACACTAAGTACCCACCCGGGGACAATTCCCCTTTCGCCAGTGTACCCGACCATCCGTCACCCTCAAGACCCCCAGGGAGGGTCCCCAGTCCAGCCTCTCCTGCGTGATCACACGCAGCCCGGGCTGGATGCCCCGCTAAGATCGTAACCCGTGCGACCCTGGGCAAATCGTAGCCTTCCTCTCCATCTCTGTGAAATGGGGGAACAATAGCGGCCGCTTTCTCAGCGTCGGAGAGAACAAGAGGAGGATGGACGGAGGGGAAAACTCCAGAGGCAGGGCTGGCAGTGCCGCGCGGGAGAGGCTTTGTCCTTCCCTTCCCCGAAGGATTCAAAGTTCAAGGCTGCGGCCGCTCGGGCTCAGGTTGGGGGTGGCGGGGGAAGGGCCGGCCACGGCTCGGGAAGGGCGTCTTTCCCTCCGCCACGGCTCGGGGAGGGACGGCTTCCCCACCTGCAGCTGGGCAGGTAGCACCCTGGCGACCTGACGCCTGGGTACGCGGGGTCCTCCCCGGAGCCCTGACGTCACCGCCGCCCCTTGACATCATGGTGGGCGCTCCTGAGGTCACCGGGCGGCCGCGCAGACAAAGACCCGACGTGTCTCCGGCCCGAGCCTTTCCCCATGCAGTGCCCTCACCCCAACCCCGTACCCCGCCCCGGCCCGCCGGCCGAGGCCCACCGCCCCCGGGTCGCACCTGAGGAACTCCTGCAGGCAGGTGTCGCAGAAGCGGTGGCCGCAAGTGGACACCTGCACGGGCTCGCGCATGGGCTTCCCGCACAGTGGGCACAGCAGCCGCCGCTTGGGCTTCTCCAGGAACTTGTAGTCGAAGCCGGGCATGGCGGGCTGGCGGCGGGCACGGGCGAG